TAATTTCCATCGAAGTTTACAATGCTAAGAAGAAGAAAGGAGTGCCTGCAGTGAAGGCAGCTACAGTAGGGAAGAAGGCTGATGCATCAGACAAGCCAAGGGCAGCAGCTAAGTTGAAGATAGAGGCTAAGCAGAAACGGCGTGAGTATGATGCTTTGTGCAAGGTGATTCGTAGGAATGCTAAGAAAGCGAAACAGCATGGGGCACGCTGGATGGTTCCTATGCTGAGGGATGATGACTATGTGGATATGCTGCTTAAATTGGCAAATGATGTGTGCTCTAAAGATGTAGTGATGGAGGGTTTAAAAGGATTGACTGAGCGGTGTATAAATCTGTTGAAAGCCTTATTTGCGAGTCGCAAATCGGAGAAGAACATGGTTCTGAGGATGTTTGAGGCAGGAGGGTTGGGGCAGGTGCTGGAGCAATTGTCTGAGATGAGAGAAGACGACATAGCGCGTCAAGAAGAGCGGGAACAAGCGGGCCGGAGACATCAGGCGAGGGTGGCCACGAGAGCAGGACAGTTGCAAGCAGCAGCAGCTAGACAGGAGTCCAGGGTTTCAGGGATGACAGGTCTGAGAGGGGCTTGCTTGTTTTGCAAGCAGGATGGTCACTATGTGAAAGAGTATTCTGTGTTAAAAGACGTGGTATGTCATACGTGTAGCAAGAGAGGTCATACTCCGAGATTCTATCCTACAACACGATCCGGGGGTAATGTAGCGGCAGCAGCGTCTGGGGAGGTGCGTATGAGTGCAGATGGGACACTTGAATTGTGACATGCGGCGGCGGCTAGTTATGAAGGACCAGGCCAACCGTTGATCTATAGTTATGTGGAGAGTGGACAGTGTTATGTCGATATGTATGTTGATCAAGGCGCCGATATATCGATGATTTCTAAGGGTTTGGCAGAGCGTCTGGGGCTGGTTGCTCAGTATGATTTGTCTGGAGAGTGGGTTATGGGGTTTAGTGCTCCGCTTCATGTGGAATACAAGGTGCGAGATGTTGAGGTTGTTTTGCCTACTTTAGTAGGAGAAAGGAGGGTTAAGTTGGATATGTGGGTTATGGATTGGATTCCACACAATGCGGGTATGTTGTTAGGTAGACGTGAATTGAATGGGTATGGATTAACTGGGGCAGTACTCACTAGGCAAGGGGTGACTAAGTATACACTGTTTCCGATTGAGGTGGTAAGAGATAAGCCATCAGACTTTAAGACCTGGCTGAACAAAAAGGCGTCTGAGCCGGTGCTAGATTATATTCAGCATGTGGCGGCGCCGTTATTATATGGGGTTATGATTCAGGTTATGAAAGTGATGGATCCGGGGGTGAGGACGATTATCTAATGTTCGATACGAGTGGCTTGGAACTGTTGACTGAAGAACCGGGGAAGTCTATGGAAGAATTGGCAGAGTTGGTGGCGGCTATTAGGAGGGTGGCGTACAATGACAAGAAACCGAAGTTTGTGAAGGATCGGATGCTTAAGCTTCAGATCAAAGAAGGAGGGGCGCCTTTGAAACAAGTATATGCGGAGAAGATGTGCGCCTTATAGAAGTGATGATGAAGAAGATACAACTATTGCTTGAAGCTGGGTTGATAGAGAGGGTGCAAGATACGGATTGGCTTACAGTGCCGAAACTTGTGCCGAAGAGATGGAGAATGGCTTCCTGTGGGCGTTGTGAGTTCCAAGATAGGTTTCCATGCTAATTTGTCTCCGACAGATAGAGAGTTGATAGCGCTAGCATTTGGGGTTTTGAAGTTCGCGGGTTTGATTAGGAGATCGTACGAGGAGCTTATAGTAGAGATGAATCATCAGCCTTTAATTGGTGTGGTTCAGCAGTTAGAGTTCACGTCGGATCCAGTTGGGTACGAGACGGTACAGGAATGTTATGTATGTACGATCGTTTGATATGGATCTACGGTACCTGGAAGGGCCAAAGAACAAAGTTGCGGATGGACTTAGTCGTATACCGTGATGATTTGATCCTATTATGGTGCCTGTGTCGGTAGAGGGTGTTAAGTTCGCTGCATGTGCAAAAATGAGTCTGCCAGAGATTGATGAAGGTGTGGATTTGTCATTTGATAACGTCTGCAAGAGTGTGGAAGACAGGAGGGTCCGGCTGGCGGTGGTTAAAGAGAAGCTGCGAGTGTTAGAGGAGGGTCTTGATGACAAGGTCAGTGCCGACTTGTGTGGGTTTATTGCATCAGCAGGTTACTGCAGTGATGGAGAGAGGTATTACTAAGATGTGGGATCCGGATGTAATGGCTAGCGAACGGCTTAAGTGTATTGGTCTAAGTGTATGGTCAGAACTTGTTCAGCCTTTGCAAGTTTAGCGCATGCTGGGGTAGATAGGATATGGGAGTTCCTGAAGGTTAAGTATGGAGAGGAAGTGGTGCTTTCGCAGGTTGTGAAGGTTTTGAAGAGTTGTGTTGCGTGTCAACAAGTTGAGGGGCTTCGTGGGACTACAGGGTTGTTAATGCAGCCTGAGAGGCCGAAAAGGGGTTGCAGTGTGTATAGGCATGGATCATTTGACCTTGCCAAGGACAGTTCACGGTTTCGAAGGTATAGTAGTGGCCATAGATCATTTTTTCGAGGATGGTGTGGTGTCGGCCATACACGTTGGAAGAGAAGAATACTAAAGGGGTATTAGAGTTTGTTCAACAACAAGTGTTGCCTTGGGGTACACCTAAGAAGGTAGTGATGTATGAGGGTGGTCCGTTCGCTTCAGCAGATATGAAAAGTTTCTGGGCAGAGAGAGGTGCAGAATGCCATTACGTATCAGTAAATAGGCATCAGGGCAATGGTAGGGCAGAGAGGGTCTTGCGTACGATTGTGGATTGGCTTGCTAAGAGCTTGCCGTTGGGGAGGAGACCTTGTGGCCAGCACATATATATTCAGTTATGTTGGCGTACAATGCGACAGTGAATTCGGCCACAGGTATTAGCCCATACTATCATGTTACGGGCCGGCATTATACGGGGCAGGTTGATAGAGTAATTCAGGCGAAGTTGTTAGAGGTGATAGGTTCTGAGCTTCTGAGTGAAGCTGCTATGCGGGATAGATCGGTGGCCATTAGAGATGAAGTAGCGAAGGCGGCGCAGGCAAAGGCGGCAGACAAGAATAGAAAAGAGGCACCAGATTGGCAGCCGGGGCAGTTGGTTTGGTATACTGGTAGGTCGAAGGATAATAAATTGGCGAAAACCTATTTAGTGAGAGGCACGATTGTTATGAGGGAACACTTACAAGGGATGTACAAAGTCAGAGTTAATGGGAAGGTTAAGTCAATACATGTGGATCAGCTTAAGGTGAGGTTAGAGGATCCGAAGCATGAGGCCAGTATTAGAATGCGTAGGAGGGAGGCTTGTTTGATCTGGCTCTACAATTATACTGGTGAAGGGGCAGCTAGTGTTACAGAACTTGATGAAATGGTGGCAGTAATGCGATCAACAAAGATGGAGAGGACTTGGTTATATGCCATGAATTCAGCTTTTGGTATAGATGTTGACACGATAGTCGATGCGGCGAGGCGAGGTGAGAGTAAGGGCGTGGTAGAAGATACTTTGGATTTGGCTATGAAGCATCACTTCAATAAGAACAGGTAGAACAAGTTGCAGATGTTCTTCCAGGTTGCGAGGGATTCGATTTTGCGGAAGAAGCAGTTGAGTAAATGGATGAATGAATGAACTCGACACTAGTGTCTTGTTCATTGGGGAGGTGTAATGTCAACCATGTTTACCTCCGATTTAAAACAATGTTGGTGTTGTAAGTACCGAACTGTTCGGTAATGTTCCTGGGCGTTAACAAGAGTGCGAGAACTTCTAAGTGTGGGCGATAATTGATAAGTGTGAAAACTAATAAGTTTGAAAAGTTCTAAGTTGTATTGTGCGGTTTGTTGGCGAACGGCCGCGCAGGCTCGAAAGAAGAGGAGGTTGGTGTATGATTGGTGTTTTGCGAACCGAAGTGCGGGGTAATATGAGCTGGAGGTTGGCAGACGACGATATATGTTGAATGGACTTGTAGGCTCGAAATTGAGAAGATACACGTTTTGATTGGCGGCCGGATTCTCAAGGAAATCCTTCAGAGATAGTAAAAATACGTGGTTTAGTTCATTCTGCTAAGGTAGACGTTTATTCAACAATCGAGGAAACAAATCTAAGTTCACCGTTACATGTTTTGAGTCGATCTAAGATTCCAGTTCTTACATAATTAGCCTTCCGTGATTTACAAAATAGTAAAAGTGATGTAACGGAATACATTTTAATGCTTTGATTTAAGTATAGCCCAGGAAAAGTTCTAAATATTTAGTCATATACCAATTGTACGGCTCGAATTGTAAATTGAAGCCTTGAGTGTAATCAAGAGTAGCTCCAATTGTAAGTTGAAACCTCGAATTTTACTAATGGGTATGTTAATTTTCAACCGCTCGTAGTATTCCATGCACATTCACCGAATTCTTTGAATACTAACTAGCACTGCTGAAAACCTATATCCCTTTTCGAGCTTTAGGCGACATCACAAAGTATCCATCCACCTCATCAGGCTCAGGTTCATCTAAGGGTTGCTCCACTTTCACGATAGCGTTCGTAAGCATGGTGCTAATGGTGGAGCTAAGTTCGTGCGAGTGGTAGTGACCCAGCAGGGCTTCGACGCTGTCGAACCACTTGTCAACGTCGATGGAGAACTGGCCTCCGGCATTGGCGTCCACCGGAATGTGCAGGGTGCGATCGATGTATCTGTATGATGACACGTGTGCATCAGTGTATATTCCAAGAAAGCTAGCAAAGCAGCTAACGATTAACTGTGCACAGGCGGATTTGTCATCGCATTGGGAAAGTCATTGTATAATATCTTCGAAAGTTGGTTTACAAATAAAAGTAGTCTAAATGTTCTCCGTATGAAGATTTCATTTTGATTTTTCATTACCACCAGCGTACGTTGTAAACGCTCAGAACTCTCAGCCTAGCGCGGGTGTAGGTAAAATTATGCTCAAGCGCGGCGATACAAGAGTGGGAAATAGTAGTATATATGGCATGTATGACAAACAACGCATCGCTTAAGATTCTTCTGTTGTCAGCGCAACGCACAACCGTTGTATTGTACCGAGAGTACATATACTCAGAAAGTCTGTGCGGGCCGATAACCGTGTATTCGATGTGTTAGATACACATAGTTGACAAGTATTACGTCGGATCAAAATATGTCGACGCGAACCATACCACGTGATAAAAACGAACCACTCAAGCAAGAAAACGTTACGCACAAATGTAGTCCGGTATACAAACGATGAGCTCTGGAAGTGAAAAGACAACCGCATGAAGTACTAGCTCCCGCAAAATACCTGACTACCAAAACGAAGCGTTCACCACGTGAATCGTGGCGCAACAGCCAGCATCCTGTTGGCTTGTGATCCATCACTTCCTCGATTGCTCGTCGACGATCCCCGCGTGATGTGTCTGCTGAAAACCCATGAAAACACCTACAGAGAACCGAATGTAATTTATCAGACAGAGGAGTATGTTTCACCATGACTTCAAATGACGGTTCAGTATAGGCTTCAAGTCACTGGATTTCCAGAAGAAAATTGCAAATCACGAAAGGACGTGTCCATAATCAGACTCTCGAGCTCCTTGCCCATTGATTGCTGGAACATGTGAAATTACCAACCACACTCAGACACTAACGATATCAAAATAGTCAATGTAGCCGGAGCCCCTTCAAACAATGAGAACTCGCTTGCGACCTTGTGATATTCCATGAGAAACTGAAGGAATAGGGATGAATAATTTAGACGCTGCGCATGGTAGGTATAGCACAGAACAGATGCAAACACTCAGATTGGAACCAACGATCAAGGTCGACAAAACGACCGCAAGTGATCACAACCTATACACTGCAACAGTCCCGGGGAAACTAATTTGACTATCATCATTGACATCAGATTTGTTAACATCACTAGCTTTTCATTTAACACTAACTTGTAACATGCTCGCAATCTTGGCGAATTTCATTCACGGGAAAAAAAGATCATGACCTCATTCTATCTCTTGATTCTATTTCAACATAACAATCAACCTTGCTAGGAAAATAACAAAGTTGTTGAACATCTCTTTTTCACAGCATAAAACATCCAAGGTGCAACGCAAAGGCACACCACATACGATGACTTCTCTAGAGTAGGACCGTCCAGCGTAAATAACCTCGCAACAGGCACTTGTACTGGGCCGCCCGCTCCAGATGCCTGCGGCAACTGCCTTGACTTTGGACTGACCCGGCTCTGAATCGATGTTTGGGACACCTGCTGCATCAATGTATTATTAGACATTCCATTTGTGCTTTTAGCACTCTCCTCCGTGAACGCGGGTTTAGGTCTACTGGCGGGTCTGGGGCGAGCCATAGGCACCGGTTTAGACTTGGGTGCGCCTGCGCGCGCATCTACGCTTGAAACGGACTTCTGAGACTTCAGCGTGCCCTGGTTGAAAATTGGCTGTGCAGGGCCGTGCGATTCTGTCATGGACGGAGATAATACGATATTAGCAACCCCTTCTCGCGCTTGTTCATTCTCTGTGTGGGCCTTTTGCGCATCCTGGTAATTCATATATAAGTCCCCCCCGTCCGGGTTGTGGTCTTGTACCTGTGGTACGGATTGTCTCGGTGCATGCGTGGGTGAAGCTGGCTTAATGACACCCACATTCATATACGAGCTGCCCTCTCCTATAATTTGATTCTGGGTGTCGCTCGCATCGCGTGCATTTTGCATCTTTTTGGGTTCGTACATGATATATTCGCCGTCATCCTCCGTAGTTTGCGGTGCACTATTAGTAGGAGCACCCGACTGGTCCGGATAGCTCATGTACGCATCGACATCACCGCCTTTAGCCGGCTGAGAGGGAATGACCGTTGTACCGTTACTATCGTTCTTCATCTGCATCCTATCCTTGGACCCAAAGTTCATATATTCGTCCTGTTCCTGGGGGGCCGCAGGATGTATAATGGGAGTATTGTCGTTCTCATCATAGTCGATATTGACATAATCCGAGTCACCTGGCGGTTGTTGTTGCATTTGTTGTTGTATTTGAGGCGTAGGTGATCCCTGGGCACGCGTTGCTCCCGAGGTCGGGCGTGACTGCGTGAAATTCTGGTACAAACCCTCATCCGTTCCTTGCGAAACGTGCACAGTGGGATCAATATTGGACGCACTATTCGTACTGGTTTCAACGCGGTTCATGTATTGGTTATCTGGTTCTTGTACTGGCGACCGGGTTTGTTGTACTGGTATACTTGGTGCGGATTTTTTCTGTGCCGGTGCGGTGGGTGCTTGTTTCTTCACCGCCGGAACTGCTTAATTAATGACACATAAGAGCAGGTGAAATGAGTACGGGGCATCCACCTTTTAAATCACACTATTTCGACAGAAATGGGGCTTATGGCGTATGGGCACGAAATAAGATGAAATTGAACTCGATATCTATATATAGAATTAAGCATGCCGGCATAAACACAATTATTTATACAAACATCATAATAGATGATAAGAACTTGAATACATACATATACAAAGGGCGTGACAATCGATAAGAGCTGCCTAAACAAATAAACACTTATACCAATTCTTCGTGAATAAGATCATAAAATCGACGACATTGTACAAATAGGTTTGTAGCAATATAATATATATCGAAACATGGGAGAAGGAATACACGGATATATGCAAAGGAAACATGTAAATACACATATACATACATAAATACACACACACACACTCACACACACACGTCCATACAAACTTATATACATATACATACATACATATATATATATGCTATACATATACAAATACATATACATATATATACACACACACACACGTCCATACAAACTTATATACATATACATATATATATATGTTATACATATACATATACATATATATATATATAAATATATATACACACGTACACACAGACACACAGACACACACAGACATATATAACACCCTCCGCCCCCCCCACAACACACACACACACATATATATATATATAATAACTGATACTATACTATTATTCTTTCCGTTCGTTACAACCACACACACACGCACGACACACACTATACTACTTATATTAAAACTAAACAT